ACCAAGCCCCGACCGCAGAAGACACCCGATGCCACTGATGTGAAGGAACCGACAACATCTACATCTGCGACAGCCACTGACAAGTACCAGTCAACGTACCAGCACGCAGCTTAAGGATGGTCCTCTGTACAATTTCACGCAAGGATTGCGCCAATTTATTAAACGTCGGTGTCAAAATGTTGATCATTCCAGTTTTCCAGTATTGTGCGACGTAGTATACCGCTAGCTGAGGGAATACGCTCCTAGACTCCGCAGGGAGATGCCGTATACCGCTTTTCTCCATGCGATGAACACTATATTACAGGCTTTTATAATTGATACCGCCCGCAATTTGAATCAAGAAAGCAGATGGCAGAATGAAGACCAGCCTCTATCGTGTATTCCCAGGGAGACAGTAATACTAGCACCAATAGCTGAGTACTTATCCATAATTAACACAAATGTTACACCTGCTGGCGACACTGTAAGGATAAATGTTCCAGATGCAATAGTTCCTGGAATCCTAATACCTGCTGATGATAACAATATTGTGATTCTCGGCGGTAATCCTGCCAAAAGTTCATCTACAAGATGAATTAGCATCTTTGCAAGTTTCATGGACAGAAGAAATTGAATCGTGTATGATAATCCCAAATCGAGTATCATTTATAAGAAGTTAAAGAAAGAACAACGTAAAGTATACGTGGAAAAAGCAAAACGTCGAGGTATTCAAAACTTTGTGAATGCAACTATACCAAATTCAGATCTAGCTCTTATGGCAGACGGATATATGCAAGAAGTAAGAAGAAGCTTAACAATTTACAAAGCTATTTCAGAAAATAAAACTGCGGGTCGCTTGAAATTGGAGTCAGCGGATTTATTGGATCTTCTTCAATTATAGATACAACATTCAAAACAAAAAGATCCTTTTTTACGGAATATGCAACTTCCATTAAATGCGGTGATATATGCTGAACAAGAGTTACATGTATTATCGACATTAAAAAATATAATAGTTCACATAGATGCAACAGGACCAGTAGTACGAATGCCACAAGACATTGACAACAAAAAGATATTCTATTACACTTTATTAGTGAGGCACGACATTGAAATCGTTAAACTAACACACATGAATACTTCGGAACATAGCGTTGTGTCCATTAGTAAATGGCTAAAAGATTATAAATTCTTTATGATGAATGTGTTTTTTAATAAAAATCTGAAATGTCTCCAACATTACTCCGTATGACGCGTATTAAATTTTTAAACTTAGAGCCTTATATCTTTAAACCCACGTGACAACGATATTCCAAACTTTAAATTGTAACGGAGTTAACTCTAGCGGCTGTTCCCAATTCGGGTATCTCGCGGCCGTCCGTACAAATTGTTTAAGGAGAGAATCCGGAAAGTGTTCCGTATAACCGAGCATACTTTTAATCGTGATTTTGCTTGCTATAAAACTACAATGTTTGTTTCAAAATCGAAATTCGTTCCGACGATGACGTGTGCCTGAATGTCTTAATTTTCAGTCGAACATACTCATAGTGTGCTTCTATTTCAAATTTTTCTCTCTTAGTCCTACGGTTCATAGCAAATATACAATACAAATTGTATACATATACAAATACCGATAAGGCCTTCACTCTCGAATTTACGACCGTACGGTCATGAATCACCGAGCCGACACCCGAAAAATTCCTCGAAGAAGAAAACCAATTGAAACAAAATGTACACGATTATGCCATTTTTAATATTTGTCTCTGCGTCTTATTAGATTACGTTTGACTTGTAAAATGGCAGGCTTTTTCCTCACAGACGGCGAGGTTTTTTATGCCGGCCATTTAGTTAAGTTTAGTTTAATTTTAAACAGTTTCACGTTTTCTCTGCGATTATGCAGGGTGTCCCATTGTAAAGGAACCACCCCGAAATTTTCGACGGTTGGCGTTGTACAAAAAAATTGTTCAGACAACAGTTGTTTGGGACAATGGGGGCAACCTTTCTGTGAAATCCGATTTGACCTTGAGATTCATTTTCAAGGTCATTTGAAGGTCAAAATCATTTTATGAATAGGAACCCGTATTTTTGATCCCGAATTCGGAAAGAGCGGAAAATTCTACGTTCAGATAACGTATTATGTGTGGGGTGCGGTTAACCCCCCCCCCCCCTCCAACGCCTAAGGTCATATAGGGGTCAAATTTATGAATTTCTTCATTTATGCACAGGGATGATGGGCAAGGGTAAGGTTAATTGTAATAACCCAATAACTCCAATACCCAATAACTCGATAACCCCAATAACCCCAATAATTCAACAACCCCAATATATATCCCCAAAAAATTGTAGGGTCAAACAACAGAATTTCCCGCTCTTTTCGAATCTGGGATAAAAAATGGGGGTCCTTATTCAAAATATCACTTGGTTATTGGGTTATTGGGGTTATCGAGTTACAATAACCCAATAACTCAACAACTAATACCCAATCAACCAATAACCCAATAACACAATTTTCTTTGATATAATTTTTTCTGATTAGATTTGTTTGATAAGTGTTGATTACTTTTCAAAAATGTCACACAAAAACTCTTAGTAAAATAAAAAATTCTAGTAGTATAAACGTTACTACCGCTAGGCAGCGCACGCCAGACGCTTCTCGGCGATAAAGAAAAGTTAGCCAGAAGAGATAATTATAAGATATTATTCAAATGCTAGTGTAGTGAATTCCAACCAAATCTTGAAAAGTTTTACTTTTCACCGACATTAACGTCGCTTACACTTGTTTTATTCAATTTTGATATTTTTGATATCTTTTTTGTTTGTCGTTAATACATTTTGTATTTATCTGCAAAAATTGAGTTTTAACAATACATCGAAAGAATTGAATTAATAGTTGTTCAAAAATAAAAATTTTGATAAATTTGAATTTACTTAATTGTTGCCTATTGTGCTTATTTGTAAACTAAAATGGCTGATTACCCTCCAGAAGAAATCGTAGATATGATTTTGATTTTAGGAGAGTGCCGAGAAGTTTACAAGTATGCAGCCGAACTTTATGCTCTTCGTTTCCCACATAGACGGCACCCAACTAACGTTACCATTCGAGATCTTACTTTGCAAACTCGGACTGGACGACTTCATCGTTGAAAATAATTAAATTAATAACCGAAGAATTATTTTAAATCTAAGCAAATGAAATTCATTATCATGATATAAATTTATTTTAGAATTTGTTTGTTTAAATAACATAACCAACCTGTCTCTAAGATGTACAAAGCAAAAACTCTCTCCCGCCAGCTTTTTTCTCTCTTATATATCCTTTTGTTGCTATGGAGATAACAATGATTTATTTTTGTTTTACTTGTTTATATAGTTTTTGTTTCTAGTTATTTACAAATTGTTTTATTATTTCCATAGCAATTTGTGACTCTTTACAATTATATATATATATATATTTCCAAAGTTTAATTTGTTTGTAAATCAATAATTCATTTGTTTATTATTCTATTCCTACATATCTTATTCACCTTGTTGACCTGCAACTTTCAAACCATGATTATGAAAGTTGCTGAAATTTAATGATATTGTTTCAGCTTTTGAAAATTCTCGATTCTTTCGGCCAAAATCTCAAATCAAATTGACAGTCTCACTGCAGCTTTTGAGAACTTATATTCTCCCGACACGGCACGGAAAGTACGACTTTCAATTTAATTTTTCAAAGATTCCCTCAGAAAAATCGATATTTTCCCGTCACAGCACGGAATAACACGCAGCCTCAAGATTAGCTTGAGCTCGTGAATTCAACGAGGCAAATTTTTATAATATTATACAACATTGCTGTTGATTAGACTAGTTTTTAAATAATTTATTACAAACAAATAACTTTACAATAGATACGGAATACATAAATACTTAATAATAAAATTACGCATTTCTATTTTTAACATTCTTCCCCGTAATTTTATTAATTCTTTGTCATTTATTTTGAATTTCTTTCTCACTTAATAATTTTATTAGCTTATGAACTGGTGGTATAAGATTTCTTGTTGCTGTGCGTATTTCTACTATTCTTATTTGCTGATCTTTAGCCGGGAATACTTGTATTACTATCCCTTTTCGCCAAAGATTTTTTTCCGTGTTTAAATCTATAATTAAAACAATATCACCCTTTTTTAGCGGTTCTTCGTTTTGTTTCCATTTTTGTCGTGGAAGTAAAGTTGGTACATATTCTCTTAGCCATCGCTTCCAAAATTCATCGGCAAAGCTTTGAGCTATCTTCATTTTTTTCTTAAATTTAAATTTTGAAAATCATATTTGTCTAATTTTAAATTTCCTGATGAAGATCCGATCAAAAAGTGGTTTGGCGTTAATGCTTCGTTATCTCTAGAATCCAACGAAACGTGAGTCGGCGGTCTCGAATTAACGGAATGTTCGATTTCTGTAAATACAGTATATAAAACCTCTTCACTTGGGGCTTGTTCTTTTAAAATAGCATGTAAAGCTACTTTGACTGATCGAATCAATCGCTCCCATGCTCCTCCCATATGTGGGGCATCTGGAGGATTGAATCGTCATTCAATATTTTGAGATTTTGCTGAATTCACGAGTCGTTCTTTATCCAAAAGTTTGATTGTGTCGGTAAGCTCTTTACTTGCTCCTTTAAAATTAGTTCCATTATCAGAGTATATAACGCAAGGAGTACCTCTTCGAGCTGCAAGTCTTTGCAAAGCCATAATCGCAGAACCGGTGTTGAGAGTATACGCTATTTCAAGGTGAATCGCGCGAATAGTAAGACAAGTAAAAAGTACTCCCCATCGTTTTTCTCGCCTGCGTCCTATTTTAACAAGCAGCGGATCAAAGTAATCTACTCCGCAATGACTAAACGGCTTTGAATTCAGAGCTATTCGAGCTTGCGGTAAAGCTGCCATCAACGGAGCACACGCTTTCCCACGATGAAGTCGATATATTATGCATTTACTAATTATTGATCTTAAGATGCCTCATAGGCCAATAATATAATATAGTTAACGTAATTCATTTATTACAGTATTGGAGCTGCTATGATAATATTTTCTATGAAAATGCGTAATTAAATTCTTCACCGCTGAATGTTTTCCATTTAAAATAATAGGTTCGTTATTAAAATCTCCGAGTAATAAAGTCACTCGACCACTAGCTCGTAAAATTTGATTTTTATCTACATATGGATTTAATATGGCTATTTTACTCTGTTTATTTATTGACTCTCCGTGTTTTAATTTTTGCAATTCTTCTGGAAAACTTTCTGCCTGAATTATTCGATATAAATATTCTTCGTTTTCATTATTTCGCTCTTTAAGTGATTTAGATTGAACAAATGTGTTCCAATTTTCGTAAGAATTCCGAAAGTAATTGTTACTCGAGTTGGCATGAGCCTTTTCTCTCCAAATATGAAATATTTTACGTATTCGATTTGCATGTACTAGCAATCCTTGCCAACCTAATAATCGTATTGTAATTGGAAGTTCAGAGAATTTTGTAGTTATCGTGAAAATAAAATTTTTTCTTTGTTCCAATTTTTTAATAAAATTCTTTTCATTTTTAGTTAAAAATTTTTCTACCGGCCATGTTTTTTCATTTTGAGATAAAAAACTTGGTCCATTAAACCATCGACTATTTAATCTCAATGCATCATTTTCTAGTCGCGTAGCATCGTCCGCTGGATTGTCTGCAGTCGGTACCCATTTCCATTCAGAGCTTTGTGTAAGTTCAGCAATTTCCCCTAAACGATTAGCAACAAATATATTATGTTCACGGGGCTCTGATCTAATCCACTGAATTACAGTAGATGAATCCGAACAAAAAACGCGACGAGTAATTTTAATTCTAAGTTCATTTTTTAAAAAATTTGCTAGTCTAGCTCCTAATAATGCTGCTTGAAGTTCTAATCGCGGAATAGTTTCTCGTTTCAAAGATGCCGTTCTATTTTTTGTCATGACTAAAGCAACATGCGCCTTTCCGTCATGTTTTTCAAAGCGCAAATATGCCGCTGCTGCGAAAGCTATCATACTTGCGTCGCAAAAAACATGAAGCTGCGCTTCTTCATTGGTACCTGAGGGAGTGTAACATCGATTAATTTTACAATGTTTTATTTTTTCGGTTTCTGATAGCCAAATTAACCAAGAAGTATACTCTTCTTCTCTCAATTTATCGTCCCAGTGAATTCCGCTTCGATGATTAGCCTGCATTAATACTTTAGATTTTAACGTGAAAGGTGCTATCAAGCCGAGAGGATCGTAAATGGACATAATTACACTTAATACTTCGCGTTTCGTTGGTATTCTTTGTCCGCGTAAAATTTGTATAGGAATTTTTGCAAGTTTTACGTTAAATTTTAATTCATCCGTCTCCGTATCCCAATACATTCCAAGAACCCTTTCATTTTCAGTTTTTCCGAGAGATGTTTGACCACTTTTCGGCGAATCTTCAATATTTAGAGCTTTATTTATTACTTCGGATTTGTTGCTAGCCCAACCGTGCATTTGGAAACCTGCTTCAGAATTAATTTTTATTACACCTTGAATAAATTCGACCGCTGTGCTGTCTGATTTTTGACTTGAAATTAAATCATCCATGTAACTGTCATCGATTATACCTTGAACTGCAAGAGGTTTAGATTTCGCATATCTCTGTGCGTTTTTATTTTTAATAAAAATGGCAGATGTTGGTGACGATGCAGCACCAAAAATCAGGCAAGTACATTCAAATTCATCGGGTTCTCTATGTCTATCTCTCCCTCGATATAAATATCTTATCGCTTTGTCATGTTCAATAATTTTAACTCTTAAAAACATATCTGAAATATCGCTTTTTATTGCTACTGCGTATTGCCTAAATCTAATTAAAATTCCTGGCAATGGTCTAAGCAAATCTGGACCTGCATCAAGTTGATCATTTAAGCTTATTCCATTTGTTTTTGCAGCACAATCAAAAACCACACGGACTTTATTTGGCTTATTAATATTATAAATTCCGAAAATTGGTACATACCATATTCTAGATCTTTCTGTATTCTTATCAATTTGTTTTGCATAACCTTTCTCTAACATTCAATCCATTTCTTTATAAAACATTTCTGCATATTTAGAATCTTTATCTAATTTTTTCTCTAAAATAAATAATCTTTTTAAGGCAGTAATTTTACTGTCAATATCAGGAGCTACATCATTTCGCCATAAAAGTCCGGTTTCCCACGAATCTCACTTAAAATGACTTGATTTTTCTAAAATTTCTATAGCTCTTTCGTTATTATTCTTTGATTTAGACTTCTCATTTACACCTATTATTTCAGAATCGAAAAATTGTTTAATTCATTCATTCAGTCTTTCATCTACTTGTTCATTTTCTTTTATGAATTCATTTTCAGAGTTACAAACTGATATTTTATTTGCAATTGACGTTATACAAGTTTTTTTGCAATTGCGATAAGTGTTCCCGTATAAAGTCCATCCTAACCGAGAACGAGAAATTGCTAAATCTTTATTTAATTCTGTAAATTCTCTAGTTGCTATTAATTTTAAATTGTCTTGTCCAATTAAAATGTCAACTTGTGCATCATAATAAGGTTGTAAAGCAATATGATTTATTAATTTGTTGAAATGTAACATTAAATTTTTACTTAAAGTTTGAGTGGGAAATTTACAGTTTTCCACTATTAAAGCATGTTCGACTTCATATTTTCCAAAAATTCCATATACTTCAAAACTAACTTTTTCACAATTCGGTAATACTGTTTTTGAATTTATTTCGGTTAATGTTAAACTCGTACTTTACCCTCTCAAACCAATGCTTTTTGCGAACCTTTTATCAATTAACGTAATCGTAGAGCCTTCGTCGAGTAAAGCAAATGTTCTTGCTTCTTTCTTGAAACCGATTACCCTTAAAGGAACAATTTTTAATAAAACTTTTGATGATTCTAGTCATAAAGGTGGATTTATTTCTGACGCTGTATTTGCGCTTTCAACGTTAATTTGTTCAATCGAATTAAAATTATTATTGGACTTTTCAGAATGTAATAATGTATGATGACTTTGTTCGCATTTTTTACATTTTCCATATTTACAAACTTTTCTTAAATGCCCAGGCGATAAACAATTCATGCATAATTTATTACGTTTTACTAAAATTCAGCGTCTATCTACTTTTTCTCGGAGAAAATCGTCACATTTCCAAATTGGATGATTTTTGTTACATACTGCACACATACGAGATTTATGAGAGTTTGTTTTCTCAATTTCGGTCTTATTTGACTTGTCTATAACTAAAGATGAAGCATATTTTTTGTTTCTTGTATCTCGAGATGTATTCGAACGATTTGATAATGTCTCAGCTGATTTTCCGAGACTAAAAACTCCTGTTTTGGCTGCTCTTTTAGCCTCAATATACAAAAAATCACTCAATTTCTCTAAATCTGATTTTTCATCAGATTGTTCCTCCGCATATCGATTAAACGTATATTTCAAAGCGGAAGGCAACTTATTTCCAACGCTAAGTATTAATTCTTCGTTGTATAAATAGCTTGATAATTTGAACGACTTAAAAGTAGTTGTAGCATTTTTTAATTTTGTTGCAAGACGCGTAATACTCCCCTTTTCGGAGTCGATGTGTGGTAAAGTTTTTACATCAGACGCGATTTTAGCAGCCACTACTTTAATATTTCCATATTCTAATTCTAAACTTTCCATTATTTCTTTCGGATCTGCGTTTACTGCTATTAAAGCTTCGACTGCTTCACGAGCTTCTCCTTTGATAGCGTCAGAAAGTCTAGTTACATTTTCGCTATTGCTGTACCCACCAGATAATGTTGGTTGTTCATAAATAGTTTTGAATTGTAAAAATGCTAACGGGTCTCCATTAAAAGGCGGTAGAGCTTCAGCAGTCGTTAATCGATTTACTAAAAGAGAGTTGCCTTCGCTTATTGACGATTCGCGTACAGATTGAAACGTATTTTCAAACGTGTGATTACGTCATTATGACTCACAGACGCTGGTGTTGATGACGGCAAAGTAGTACTATTTTCCCAGTTTTCATGACGCTCGTGAACATCGACCAATTCTTCAGTGTTGATGGCCTTGTCATCTGATAATGGTAAGGGTTGTTGAGGTTCAGGTGAAAATTGACGAGGTGCAGATGAAGTTGCATTGCTGACAAGTCTGTTATTATTTTCAGCGATAATAACGCGAGAAGGCCTTCTTCTGTTTGTCCGTGTTTGTACACCTTGTCTGCTCCGTTTTGCTGGAGGTTGATCCGTTGGAGTATTTGAAGATCGTGTCCTTCTTGGAGCCATTTTGATTTCGAACTCAAAATAAAATAAATGGAATTACACTCTATTATAATTTACACTTCTAAAAATAATTCTCGGTTTTTTTTTTATCCGGTCGATAATTTCCCGGGTTTCGGCACCATTAAAAATAATTAAATTAATAACCGAAGAATTATTTTAAATCTAAGCAAATGAAATTCATTATCATGATATAAATTTATTTTAGAATTTATTTGTTTAAATAACATAACCAACCTGTCTCTGAGATGTACAAAGCAAAAACTCTCTTCCGCCAGCTTTTTTCTCTCTTATATATCCTTTTGCTGCTATGGAGATAACAATGATTTATTTTTGTTTTACTTGTTTATATAGTTTTTGTTTCTAGTTATTTACAAATTGTTTTATTATTTCCATAGCATTTTGTGACTCTTTACAAATTGACTCTTTATATATATATTTCCAAAGTTTAATTTGTTTGTAAATCAATAACTCATTTGTTTATTACTCTATTCCTACATATCTTATTCACCTTGTTGACCTGCAACTTTCAAACCAGGATTATGAAAGTTGCTGAAATTTAATGATATTGTTTCAGCTTTTGAAAATTCTCGATTCTTTCGGTCAAAATCTCAAATCAAATTGACAGTCTCACTACAGCTTTTGAGAACTTATATTCTCCCGACACGGCACGGAAAGTACGACTTTCAATTTAATTTTTCAAGGATTCCCTCAGAAAAATCGATATTTTCCCGTCACAGCACGGAATAACACGTAGCCTGAAGATTAGCTTGAGCTCGTGAATTCAACGAGGCAAATTTTTATAATATTATACAACATTGCTGTTGATTAGACTAGTTTTTAAATAATTTATTACAAACAAATAACTTTACAATAGATACGGAATACATAAATACTTAATAATAAAATTACGCATTTCTATTTTTAACAATCGTGAACGTCGTCGTCATGAAGATGATGTAAATGATAATCGCGTTATAACGAACCTTGCGATTGTCCACCTTGATCCTCATGTTAGTTCTCGGCAAATTGAAAGAGAACATGACATACCAAAATCGACAGCTCTTAGAATTCTTAGATCGCTGAGATACCATGCTTACCACATCACATTAACTCAAGAACTAACGCTTCGGCAATTTGCAGAACGTCTTCTATTTTGTCACTGAGCGGTACAGCATCCAGAGTTAATTTAATGTGTTATGTTCTCAGATGAAGGGACATTTAAAAATACTGGTGAACTAAACAGACATAATTTCCATTACTGGTCAGATGTCAATCCACATTGGCATCGAGGCATTGACAACCAATATCATTGGAGTTTAAATGTATGGTGTGGGATTGTAAATGGCTATTTAATTGGCCCTTACTTTTTTGACACTAATGTAAATCAACACAATTTTTTGCAATTCTTGAGATACCATTTACCTGGTTTACTTGAAGATGTTGATTTGGAAACTAGACAAAGAATGTGGGTACAATTATATGGTGCACCACCACACTTTGCTTGAATAGTAAGAAATTATCTCAATGAACGATACCTAAATCAATGGATTGGACGTGGAGGGCCCATTGCAATGCCCCCTAATTGGCCTGACTTAACTTCACCTGATTTTTATCTTTGGGGATACCTAAAAAATACTTGTTATGAGCAATAACCGACACGAGAAGACATGATGGAATGCATACGAAGACTTGTGCAGCAGTTCCAAGAAATGTTCTTCTCTTAACTTTAACACATTTTTTGAGAAGATGTCAATTGTGCATTGAAGCTAATGGCGCTCAGTTTGAGCATTTACTTAATGGTTAAACGTAAAATTAAGAATGCTTCACTGGAATAAAATACCCTGAATAGTAAGAGGCAAGGGGACTCACTGAAATAAAGCACCCCGAATAGTGAAAGGATTCAATTAAATGATACACCCTAAAGGGAACATATTTCTATTACGTTTACGACGTTGTTCCTGATAAGAGCAAAAATTAGGAGATTAGTGCTGAATAGACAGTGGTAATAATTGATACTTGGCTAGTCCAGGTTTTGAATAATTAAAATTTAAAAATAAGAACTTTGCTTTGCATTTTACAACAATGTATTTCAAGTTACTTCAACATGTTTACTAAAATGTATGTTACGTCGCAACACGATACATATGTATTAACGCATACGTACATTACTCAAACATGTATTTTCAAATTAAGTTAAGCTGCGCGCGCAGCTAAAGCGTGTCTGTGTGTGTGAGAGTGTATGAGGTGCTAGGGCCTTAAGCCTAGCGTGGTGGCAGCACCTTACGGCGCTGCGCCACTCGCGCCAAGCTTGGCGGTTCTTGCCGGTGTAACCGGCAGTCGTCGACGACATCGTCCCGCGTGCGGAGCTCCCTCGCGCCTTTTACGTTCTCGGATAACGTGCTCGTGCACCCACGTGTAACATCACTTGTATTACCCACGTAATACAAGGTTCTCGTCCACTCACGTGGTCTGTTCTATCGTTTCAGTGTAATTCGGATGCGTAAAAGTGATTGTAAGTTCATCGTATAGCAATCTCCTTTGTGTGCGGAGCGTGTGAGTGCGTGCATGGTAACGACCATTGTTCTCCGCGCGACGTCTCTATCCCGCGTTATCTTCATCGTTGTAATTTCTAGTTTCATTTAATAAAAGGGTTTTTTATGCCGTTACGGCTTTTTCCCTCAAACAGTGTTAAGTGATTTCCCTCTCATTTTAATAAATTAAATCTAACTACCACAACTAAGTCAGCAATCAAGAACAAAGGAGAAATTCGAACTAGAGCGATTTACTTCGCCAAGGAAGTCGTTCAGAACTTTTCATGGTGCCTCCTGTGAGGTAGTTTTCTACCTCTCTCTCTCCTTTTTCATTCTCGGAAAAGGGGACGTCGCGCGAGTGCAAGTGTATGAGAGTGTGTGGGGAGGGAAAGGTGTGCATATCAAAACGCGCGAAAACGCGCGCAACGTGCACCGACAAGTGCAGCCCGCCAATTTATCTTCTCTCTCGCTCGCTCTCCCGCCGTTTATTCGCGCCTCGTGCAATTGCCTACACTCAGCGTGCGCAACAGCGTGCGCAAACATTCAGCGTGCGCAACAGCGTGCGCAGTCATCCAGCGTGCGCAACAACGTGCGCAGTCGTCAGTGCCGATCAGCCTTGCCATCGCTTCCGACCAGGGGGACTTACACGCAGCGGCCACCGACATCGTTTTCCATTAACTAAGATAAGTGTTCTTCTTCCTTTTCTCGCTTTCTCTGCTTCAATAAATAAACATACGCTTGCGAACAAACGGTTTCGCTTTCCACTTATAACGATTAATTCCATTTTAACTGAGTTAATTCTAGCGTTTTGATTTTTTGTTGTCTGCTTCTTGTTAAATTAAGTGAATCAATCAAACTAAAATACGATTGCGCATTGATTAGTACTCGAGTCATTGTTAGCATTTCATGTTTATTCGAATTTAGCAAGCAATTTACAATCCACTAGTGATTAATTGCCATTAAATAAGTTTGTAGACAATTGTTTGACATTGTTTAATTATTCAATTATTGTAGAATTTCGTTGTCCGTTTCAATCATATGTTTTTTCTCTCTTCTTCTTTGAAACTTCAATTAACGTCAATTTCAATTTGATTCATAACGCGTTATTTTGATCCAACAAATACCCAAAATGAATAACGACGAGGTTATTCCAGCCAGCGGCAACGCAGAAAAACGCCTAATTTATATCGAACAGAAATTTAATAGGTTTACAAAAACGTTGAAATCCCTCAAAGAATACTTAGCAAAGGGATCGCCAGATGCGACGAACGCGGAGTTACGAATAAATTCCCTTTCGACCATATATCAAGGTTATTCAGCGAATCGCGAAGAACTTCTTTCGATGCAACCTGAGCATCCCCACATTGCCGCATTCGACGAACTCGAATCCGAATATTTCGAAGTAGCAAGTCGAATATCGAAAATGAACAAACCCCCAGCGATCCCTTTCGCGAATTCCAGTATGCTCAACGGAAATAACACCGCTACCTTCATCGAGAGAACTAACGTGGCAAAACTCGCACCGTTGACAGTGCCCAAATTCGACGGGAACCACAAGAACTGGGTCCCTTGGAAAGCCAACTTCCAAGCGCTTATACACGATCGTCCAGGAATGGCGGGAAGCGTCAAACTATCCCAGCTTCAAAATGCAGTTCAGGGTTTAGCAGCGACCGTAATAAAGGAATTCTGTCTTGACCCCAGCGACGTCAGCTACGGTTTAGCTTGGGAAGCGTTGTGCAACGCTTACGATCAACGACGTGTTCTAGTCAACGAGCACTTCGACACTCTGCTAAAGTCAGCTCCCGTTCAAAATCCAACCGCCGAAACCACAGCCACCCTTATGTACACCGTCCGTCAGCACGTCAGCATGCTCAAAACAATAAACATTGCGATCTGCGACGAGTTTGTCCTGCGAATTCTCGAGAGATGCCTGCCCGGGTATCTCCTGTCGCTATGGATAGATAAACACTCAAATCGCGAAATCCCCAAATTGGAAGAATTATACATCTTCGTTCAGGATTCAATATTTAAACAACGAGCGATAGGTGAACTTCCGAAACGAGATTACCAGTCCAAAAGAAAAGGGGCAGGTAGCAAAGCAGAACCCCCGGCAAAGGTCTCCAGAAACATTGCCAACACACTCGTTACTACCTCGACGACCAGCAACAACGCGTGCGTTCAATGCGGTCAATCCCACAGACTCTACAAGTGCGAAAAGTTCAATAAGGCGAAATTGAACGAAAGGTGGGAACTCGTCAAAGCAAAGGGGTTATGTCGCAATTGCTTATACGTCCACTCCGCTTCCTGTACCAGCGAAAAAAGGTGCAAAAAATGTCATAAGGATCATCATACCCTTCTACACGCAGATAAAAAATCAGGTTCATCTACCCCTCAACCCGCGAACGATTCAAAACCGTCCGGGACGTCTCAACCATGACTAAGCCAACAAACATTCGCGTCAATCGCATACCTTCCCGATTCTCAACTTATGACTACAGCAGTTTTAAGCTTTCAGTCAAGCCGAGGAAAACGTCTCATGGCACGCTCATTACTAGATTCATGTTCTAACGCAAACTTAATGACTCAATCTCTTATCAATCGTTTACAATTACCAGTTAAACAATGCTTTGTGAATATCGGAGCAATAGACAATGCGAATATTGTCTCAGAAAAATACACTACTGCCACTTTCTATTCTACATATAATAATTCTAAACATCAATTAAACTTTTTGATTGTACCTAAAATAGCTGAGAAGGTGCCTAATGAGACTTTCCCTCGGGAGAAATTCAACATCCCCAAGAATATCAAATTAGCAGATCCCCAATTTCATATACCCAGACCGGTCGATGTCTTGCTAGCGTCAGGTCCAACTCTGTCTTCTCTTGCCATAGGGCAAATCAAGCTAAATGACGAAAGATCCCAAATCACTCTTCAAAAAACTTCTTTCGGCTGGATAGCAGCCGGAGGATCAATCTTATCAACGATTCCCAACTCCGTTTCGTGCAATGCGGTGAGGTTAGATTCACTCCTAGAAAGATTCATGGCGATGGAAGACGTGGATTATCAACCCATCAAGTCAGAAGAGGACGTAGCGTGCGAAAGGTACTACGCTCAAACCACGACACGCGACGCTTCGGGTCGCTATATCGTTCGTCTGCCGTTTCGATCAGGCAAATTCGAACTAGGTTTGTCAAAACACCAAGCGTTACAGCGTTTTCAGGCGTTGCAGCGCAAATTTGATGCTAACTCCAGGTTCCGAGCAGACTACGAAAGGGAATTCAACGGGTACCTGGAACTTGGCCACATGACGCTGTGCGAGGACGACAACAACGATGGTTACTACTTGCCTCACCACGCGGTGATCAAGGAGTCCAGCGAAACGACGAAATGTCGTGTCGTTTTCGACGCTTCTGCAAAATCCTCCACGGGCATTTCGTTGAACGATATGCTGTTGACTGGACCGACCATTCAGGAAACTCTGTGGAAGCAAGTTTTGCGATTCCGTTCTCATCCCTTCGTCATTACTGCCGACATCGAAAAGATGTACCGACAAATCTGGATTCATCCCGACGATAGGAAGTTCCAGAAGATCTTATGGTACCACGAAGGCGAAGTTCGAACTTTCGTTCTCAACGTTGTAACTTTCGGGGTGAAGTGTGCTCCTTTTCTCGCAATTCGAACATTGCATCAGCTAGCCGTTGATGAAGAGAGCAGATTCCCAAGGGCAGCAATGCTACTTCGTCGAGACTTCTACGTTGACGATTTCCTTTCAGGTGCAGACACGCTGGAGGACATCATGAGGATTCGCGACGAGATGATCAAACTTTTAAGTCGTGGGGGGTTCGTGATACGAAAATGGTCCTCGAATCATCCGTCGGCTTTAGACAACATCGATAAAAACATCTTCGATTTAGATTGCGGCATACAAGGGAACCCCATAAAGAAGACTCTCGGAATCATCTGGGACTCACAACGAGATGTCTTCACATATTCCGCAAACCCTGATGCGTTAGCTTCTACCAAAAGAAAACTCCTTTCCCAGATTGCGAGGATCTTCGATCCTCTAGGCTTATTAGGTCCTTTAACCCTGTATGCCAAAACATTAATTCAGGAATGTTGGAAAGCTAACATTACCTGGGACGAATCTCTACCTCAAGACATCCACACCAAGTGGATCGCTTTAGCTGAACAACTTCCTTTAGTGCGAGAAGTCGCGTTACCAAGGTATCTGCGATATGACGTTGCGAACCCAGTATCCACCGAGATACACGGTTTTTGCGACGCGTCGATAAAGGGATACGGCGCGTACATCTACATTCGTTCCGTTGACTCTGCGGGAAATGTCACTGTTAGGTTAGCTTGCAGTAAATCCAAGGTTGCTTCGCTTAGTCATCACACCATACCTCGTTTGGAACTCTCTGGCGCTGCCCTTCTGAAGGGACTAAATGTCGAACTGGTGACCCAGCTGACTTTCAATATCGTGCGAACAATTCTTAGAACAGACTCAAAAATCGTTCTCTGCTGGTTAGACAAAGCTCCTCATCTACTTAGAACCTACGAAGCGAACAGAGTCACTGATATTCAAACGCTAGGTGAGAAGGTCGAGTGGAAACATGTTCGTTCGAAGGACAATCCGGCTGATTCACTATCCCGAGGACAGCTACCCAGGGAACTTTTAACTGACCCCCTCTGGCATTCGGGCCCTCCATGGTTAGCTCTTCCTGAAGATCAATGGCCTTCATCGGAAGAATCCTCGTTAGGTGATCCTCCAGGCGCGACAGAGGGAATTGTTTTATTCACAGCCTCTTCTGGAAGTAACGTCTACTCTCGTTTCTCTGATTACGGATGCCTTATTAGGTCCATCGGATATCTTCTCCGTTGGAGTAGAAGGGAATCACTACTAGACGATACCCAAGATGCGAATAAATCGCAACGAGAGATTCGTTACCTCTCCCAAGCCGAAATAGTTTACGCAGAACGCCAAATCCTTCTTCTCATCCAAAGAGAATGTTTTAGTTCTAAGATAAGATAGCTCAAGTCGACTACGAAATTAATTTCCAAAGGCCCCAACGGCGCTTTCAGGAGTCGAACGAAGTTCGATGAACTCAATCCCTTCTTAGACGAGCATGGACTGATCAGAGTAGGTGGTCGGTTGAAAAATTCAAATCTTCAATTCAATCAAAAATACCCTATTTTTCTACCTAGCAACCATCACGTGTCAGATCTCATCATCCGCGACGCTCATCATCGAAATCTTCACGGGGGGGTCCAATCCACTCTTTACAGGATACGCGAAAGGTTTTGGATTCTCAACGGTCGAAACCAGATTCGACATGTCTTGCGCCGCTGCGTACCCTGTCTTCGGCAAAGGCCAAAATTCTCACACGCCAAGATGGCAGACCTTCCAGAATCTCGAGTAAACCCTGCGTTCACTTTCGCGAAGGCCGGCGTAGATTTTTTTGGTCCGATTATGATCAAAGAAAAAAAGGATCGAAATCGAAGTTTCCTTAAGGTGTATGGGTCCGTTTTCGTTTGTATAGCCACTAAGGCTGTCCACATCGAGGTAGCATCCGATCTCTCAGCTGAGGGCTTCCTCGCGTGTTTTCGTCGGTTCGTTGCCACGCACGGCAAACCGACCACCATGTACTCTGACAATGGTACTAACTTTGTAGGCGCAAATAGCGAACTGCAAAGGATTTACCAATTACACAATTCACCCGAATTTAAGAACGCGATTCAAACCTTTGCTGCAGCCGAACGGATTGAGTGGAACTTTAATCCACCTCTCTCACCGCACTTCGGCGGTTTGTGGGAGGCGGCAGTTAAAAGTTTCAAACACCATCTGAATCGTGTCGTCAAGGACCAAAAGCTCACGTACGAGCAATTGGAAACATTGTTAAAGGAAATCGCCGCCGTGTTAAACTCTCGACCATTGTACGCGATTTCTGCTGACCCAAACGATTCCCTTGCGATAACTCCAGCTCATTTTTTGATCGGGCGTTCCTTCAATTTCTTACCCGACCAAAATTATGTTTCAGTTCCGGACAATCGCCTCACTTCCTACCAGCTCGTCTCTAAAGCTAGACAAGCCTTCTGGAGTAAATGGCACAAGGAGTACTTGCATGAACTGCAAACTCGTCAGAAGTGGTTGAATTCCGGAACCGTATTATCACCTGGATCTGTGGTTGTGTCGATGGAGGACAACCCTGCTTGCGCAAGATGGCCGCTGGGTGTCGTCGTGGAGATCCACCCTGGGAGCGATGGCATTGCTCGAGTAGCATCGGTGAAGATGGCTTCCGGAATCTACAAACGGAACATTACTCGGCTCTGTGTGCTCCCTGTAGATCAGGAAAACGCGGACCCGTTGGAGTCTCAAGTCACCCTCCCGAACTCGTGATTAGCCCCAGATGTGTGCTCTTTGGTTTGCCATGAACGAGTCGAACCATGGGGTATTCTGGAAGTGCTTGAAGCCTGGCCCGCGAAAGGTAGAGTACAGAGTGCTCTACAGCCAGATGCCCAAAGAATCAATCTTTGGAGCGCGATACCTGTCCGGAGATCAGGTTCCCACAATCGCGGAGACTCCAACCTTTCGTCGACGTTAATTTAGGACAAGCGTGATCAGTGAAGTGTCAAACTTATGGCACCGGATGATCTTGGGTAGAATTAGTTGTACATTAGATTTAAGACATTGTAAATCGTTCGTTTCGTTGTATTAGTAGTTTAAGAGAAATTGAAGCCAAATAGCTTTCAATCAATCAGGTTGCGATGTCGATGCTAATCAAGAGACCAGTCCCTTCAACGAAAACTGGCTCTTCATGTAAAGAAACCAAAGACCGTCCTAGATTAGTAAGCAGGAATGGGTCAACTAGTCAATGTAAGCTCTTGTTAAGTCTAACACTGCTCGATCATTAAAGGTCTAATTAAGGGGGCTCCAGCGACTACAGCCGAGGTCAAACTCCGCCCAAAATTAAATTCGTATTCGCAATATTTAATTGATGCTAGTAAATCCTGCAATTATTTTTAAAGCCCAAATATTATGAAAGCGAGCAACTTAAGATTATATTTTATTTATCAATAAAATATACAGTCGCTGATTTGATCTTGTTTACAATGAGCCAATGAACAGCTCGATTTAGATGACCGTACATCCGGAAAGCATGCCTTACTACCTAACCTATATGTCTGTACGGTGAGTATACGAGTGTCGCACCAGCTGTTTGCGCGATCGTAAGCGTAATGTGTTTGTCAACATTTGTTGATATTTGTTATTAATGAAATGAGTGATGACGCTTCTACAAGCGAGGATAAAAACAATTGGAGAAATAACGAGAGAATCACAAAAGGATCTCGCAAAGGTCAATTTAAAAAAAAATCAGTGAAACGAACGAAAAGCGTAGATCGAGGAGAGAGGTCGAAGAGGTTATGCGAGGTGAGATACCTTGATACAAAAATATGTAAACAATACGTGACTGATTATTTTATTTATAATATATTTTATAGGAAAAGGAGGAAAGCGAAAAAAATGACGATGCGGCCACGGTTAAAGTTAAAGGTGATGTTTTGGCTGGGAGAGAATTATTTGAGCCTAGCATATTGGCACAAGAAATGTGGTGTTGCAGCTGTGACATACCCTTATCTTTTCGATACACTGTAAATAAAGTCCAGCAAGGCTTAGGATATGTTTATGATATAAAATGTTACAAATGCGGTAAGGTCAAAACAGTAAGAACAGGAAAAATATTCAGACAGGGCAATAGTGTACTGTTTAAAGCAAATGTTAAAGCAGCGCTTGGTAAATGATTTCTACTTTTGATCATAATTATTATTTTTAATAATGATCTATTACTGATTGTTATATTTTATAGGTATTATAGATGCTGGAATTGGTGAAACACAATTCAATATATTACTATCTGCACTGAATATCAACACCGTGTCAGATACTTTGCTCAAAAGGTATGAAAGGATTGTAGGCCCAGCAATTGAAGCCCTCGCTAAAGATTCATGCTTGAATGTTTTGAAAGAAGAAATAGCCTTGGCTAAGAAAGTCAATGATATTATAACAGACAAGTAGGACTTTTTTGGTCGCAGTTATACTCACATATAAGAAAGATCTGCATGAGCTAGAATTTTATTTATATAAAAATAATTTTTTTATGATTTTTTTTACACTCAACTTTTATTGAATCATTGTTATAATGAAATTGTAATTTTTTACTATTTTTTATTTTTTGTTTTGCAACGATTACCGAAAATCGTAGACTCGCGCGAGGTTAACGAGCGGCTAAGCGAGAGGAGCCGCGTTCGGTCCGCGGGAGAGAGAGGGCGCGTAAGGGGCAATGACCGGGAGGGGAGGCTCCGACCGGCAGTATGACTGTGCTACTCAGTCCGTTCGTGCCGATCTAACCTCCGTGTTCCCGAGCCGTTCGAGTTTTCGTGTGTTCTTGCCAATTGACATTGCGAACTTGAGTGCGTGGGTGGGTGTGCAGCAACAGCAGCAGCAATAGCAGTAGCAGCAACTGCAGTAGCAGCAACAGCAGCAGCATCAACAGCAGCAACATCAGTGGCGACAACAACAACAGCAGCGACAGTAATAGAAGCGGTGCAGCAAGCAGCGGATCAGTCGATTAACAGCGTGTTTGTCGGATACGGTTGGCCACCGTATCCTCATCGTTCTCGCGGTAGGTGCACCTTCTTCCCTTGTTTAATTATTGTCATAATTTGCGTGCGAATCCGCGCAGCGAGCGCGAAGAATTTGTTTATTGCGTGCGAGCAGGTAGTTCGCGGGAATCGCGGTTTTTTCTCTCTCTCTCAATTTGCGTGTCTTGTCATTCACGCGTGCGTGCGTAAGTCTCTCGGCCAATTCCCCGTGTAGGTTAATTGCATTAATAAAGTGCATTTTTATCGTTTCTATCGAATCAAAGAGTCGTTATTGTGTCTTTCCTTTGTCCGGAGGTCGCGCCCGTGTTTATTTTCAGTGTTTACGTCGATTCGAATTCGCCGGTTACGTAGCATGGACCGTGCGAGTACAGGTAGACGCGAATCGACGCCTTGGGTTCCGGCGGCGGCCGCTCGAGCGCTACTAGCAAGGGGCGACAGCGCCGCCAAGCGGTGAGTTGGGGGAACCCAACTTGGAACGGTGAAGAGACTCTGCGCAGGCGCACTTCGAGGCAAGGTAGGTTACTGTGCCTTGAGCACAGAGATAACAAGGCGTCGTTTAGTCGCAATTAAAGGTACGTTTGCAGGATTATAGACTAAACGGCAGCCTGTTACAGTTTGTTACTGATAACATTTACTTTATCAATTCTCCATTTATGATAAACAAGATATTATTTTTTAAGAACTCAATCATCTAACTATTCCATTCAATGCTTATATATGTTATGACGATATTTACCTAAAAACTGATGTATACTTTCATGATTTTGAGTGTTATGTATGTAACTGTTGAGATAAGAAATTTTGCACTAATGTAAGACAATATTTGTATCAAATGCTTCGATATTTTAGTATTCAGCAAGTTGGCAATATTTGCTATAAATAAAATGTAACAAAATTGTAATAATTTTTGTGTATTTCACTTTCTATTTTTTATCGCGTTTATTTTCAGGAATGAAAAAGACAAATATGGATTAACATTCGGTTATGACGCAGGTTGGCAAAAAAGGGGAACCGGCAGAGCCTATAATAGTTTGTCAGGTAAAAATAATTTGATAGGACCTCGATATAGTTGCAATACTTTTACTTACAGAAATACTTAGGAAATATTCAAATAGTTTTTATATTTTTTATTCAAAATAAAAAACTATAAATAAAATAATATTATTATGTAAGCTAAAAATATCGCATGAGTAATTGTTATAAAGCTTTGCATTGAGAAACGTTAATTGTCGTATAGGTCATGGTGTATTGATGTGTTTTCACACAAAAAAAGTTGGTTCTTTCGCAGTCCGTACAAAAACTTGTCGGTCCTGTAGTTCAGGCAAAATACACGATTGTAGAAATAATTATAGCGGTTCAGCTAAAGGAATGGAAGCAGATATGGCAAAGGAATTGTTTACTGATAATCCGTTGTTCAAGGAACTTAATATCTATGGTGCTAGGCTAATTATGGATAACGATTCCAGTACTATCGCATTATTACGTAAAGTTTGTACACATAATATTGAGCTTTGGGCTGATAAGAATCATACGGTGAAATCTTTGTCCAACGCTTTGCATAGGTTGTCTGTGGCAGCGGGACTGGTAGACTATTTTACTGAAAATTTTAGTGGTGTGATCGCGGAATGTAAAGGTCAACCTGATATTCTTAAAGAAAGATTACAGGCAATAGTGCCTCATGCATTTGGAGATCACACTCTCTGTACTTTTCATGAAGATAAAGAGAATTATGAGTATAAAAGGTTGCCTGGAAAAAAACCTTTAGATAATAAAGATCTTAAAACTGCTTTGGAAGAAATATTCAGTCGTTTTATTAATGATGTTAAAAAAATTGCACCAGCAGCATCCACACAAGCGAATGAATCTTTTAACCATCTAGTCGCATCAAAATGTCCGAAATCAAAACACTTTTCCGGATCTGAATCGTTTTCTTTCCGAGTTGCAGCAGCAGTATGCCAAAAAATTTGGGCCATGAATGGATCAATTTAGTCTTTGAAAGATTAACTTTTAGTCCTGTAAAAGCAGGTATAAAGTACAGAATTGTTAGAGAGTTGAAAAAAATTAGAAAAAATTTGTATGCTAGTAGTCGTGTAGGAAAGTTGCGCAAGAAAGCTTTGAAAATAGCACGATCTTCAAAATCAAGTGGTCAAAAAAAAAAAGAAGGTATCACTTATGGAAGTAATGTAGGGCTAAGTGGTGTACTTGAAATTCCACTTAATATTCCAATTAATTTGCCCAGAGTAACCAATGCTATACCTCATCCAGTGTTACCTAGTCATAATCCCGATGGTTCCCAGAATTATAAATTAATCTATGTTGATACCGAAACCACTGGTCTGAATCCGAAGAAAGACCAAATAATCCAGGTACGCACTTTTTACTCCAATAAACTTATTTATTTTTAAAAACTAACTCTTTATTTTTGTTTTTTTTTAAGATTGCTGCTTATGATGGCAATACATCGTATAGTGCTCACATAGTTCCAACGGGACCGATTGCACCAATGGCATCACTGAAAACTGGTTTAATGATTAAAAGTAGCAGTTTGTTTTATCGAGGAAAAAAGTTGGCAAGTGTATCTAGGCAACAAGCTGTAGATGGATTCTTGAATTATTTAGAAATATTCAAATCCAATCCTTCTCATCCACATATTATTTTAGTTGGCCATAATGTTATTCGGTAATTCACCAGTCAAACATAATTTTCTTGCGTCTGCGGAGTACTTCTTTTTTTTTAATATATTATAATACTTTCTTGAAGGTTCGATGCCGAGAGAATCAAACTTTTACTCGAACAGTTTAATTCGTATGATAAGTTCGTTAATTTAGTACATGGATACGCTGACACCTTGAATATTTTCAAGAAGAAGCTACCTGAAAGGGCGAAGGATAAAAAGAATTCTTGGACCCAAGAAGCTCTAATCCAGGAGTATTTACCTAATATAAATATTGCTCTTCTACATGATGCGTTAGAGGATATTAAAGCTTTGAAAAGTCTAGTCGATATTTTAGATGTTTCTTATGAAGAAATAGTTAGTGATACAGTGAGTCTCAGCCAAATGCAGAATAATAAAGATGCTAATGAACATAAAAAAATTGTTAAACAAATTGTTGATGCAAACAAAAGAAAATTGCAAGTGTTAAAAAACGTTGTTAAACCAGCTATTATCAATAAGCTTGCGAAAGAAGGTATAACAGAAGACGTGTTGAAGGACGCTTATTTAAAAAATCCAAAAGAAGGAATTAAAATTTTATTATCTATTAGTGTTGGTAACAAAGTACGAGTTACTTCCAAGCCAGAAATTATTACCGCAATCTGTGATGAAATAAGAAAAATCTGCACCTGAAAATATTAATTTATTGTTTTTTTTTGTCGACAAATCGATATGAAAAATTTATAATTTTATTTAAATTATTTACATAGTATGTAACAGGCTGCCGTTTAGTCTAAAATCACACAAACGTACCTTTAAATGCGACTAAACGACGCCTTGCTATCTATGTGCTTAAAGCACAGTAACCTACCTTGCCCCGAAGTGCGCCTGCGCAGAGTCTTCTACTTCTCCGAGTTGGGTTCCCCCAACTCGCCGCTTGGCGGCGCTGTCGCTCTTACTAATAGCGCTCGTGCGGCCGCCACTGGAACCTAGGTTACTGACTCGCGTCTAGTGATACTCGCACGATTCGTGCTTCGCAACCGGCGAATTCGAATCTCCTGAAAATAAACACTGGCGCGACCTCCGGACAAAGGAATGACAAAATAACGACTGTTCAACTCGAATATAACGATTAAGATGCTCTTTATTTAGCTAATTAAATTACACGGGGAATTGGCCGAGAGACTCACGCACGCACGCGTGAATGACAACACACGCTAATCGAGAGAGAGAGAAAAAACCGCGATTCCCGCGAACTACCTGCTCGCACGCAACAACAAATTCTTCGCGCTCGCTGCGCGGATTCGCACGCAAAATTAATACAATGATTAACAAAGGGGAAAGAAGGTGCACCTACCGCAATATCAATGAGGATACGGTGGCCAACCGTATCCGACAATCAAACAGTTGATCGACTGACTCGCTGCTCGCTGCACTGCTTCCAATACTTTTGTTGCTGTTGTTGCTACCGCAGTTGTTACTGCTGCTACTGCTGCTGCTGCTGCTGCTAGCACTCACCCACGCAAGTCGCAACGTCAATGGCAAACAAACACAAAATTCGAACGGCTCGGGAAAATGGAGGTTATCGGCACGAACGGACTGAGTGGCACAGTCATACTGCCGGTCGGAGCCTCCCCTCCCGGTCATTGCCCCTTACGCGCTCTCTCTCTCTCGCGAACCGAACGCGGCTCACCTCGCTTAGCCGCTCGTTAACCTCGCGCGAGTCTACGATTTTCGGTAATCGTTGCAAGTAATACTAAAATTTCCAATTTCCATTTTTTCAAACGTTCTTAGAATGATAAATATTGTTTGTGTATCATTATAATATAAATTCATCATTTATAAATGAAATAAATTTTAATATTTTTGTTATTATCAGAACATAACATTCAAAAGACGCGCGCTTGACATGCGCAATGTAACTAACATGGCTACCGTCGGCTAGCCGGATGTGCAACGGCTCGTCCAATTTCGCGTACAGTTTTTACTAATTATCTCGATATTTTCCACGGCTCCACACCATTTGCGATGTACCATTAGAAAGCTGAAGGCTTTATCTATATAAAATAAGTTTTTTGTCGCGTAACTTTCCCATTAAGGTTAGTAAATTATCATATTTTAACCTCATTTCTACTCTGCTCCATAAGAACCCATGTATAAGATCCGAACTTTGAGATGATATATCTCAAAATTTTCCACGGCTAGGGGGGTAATGAATGATACCGTTGGATTCAGCGCATTTCAATCTATAAAATGAGTTATATCATATCTCTGAACTTTCCGCGCTGGAACCCCCTTAATCTCGCAGCTGTGGCCGACAGTATGTTACGTCGCAACACGATACATATGTATTAACGCATACGTATATTACTCAAACATGTATTTTCAAATTAAGTTAAGCTGCGCGCGCAGCTAAAGCGTGTCTGTGTGTGTGAGAGTGTATGAGGTGCTAAGGCCTTAAGCCTAGCGTGGCGGCAGCACCTTACGGCGCTGCGCCACTCGCGCCAAGCATGGCGGTTCTTGCCGGTGTAACCGGCAGTCGTCGACGACATCGTCCCGCGTGCGGAGCTCCCTCGCGCCTTTTACGTTCTCGGATAACGTGCTCGTGCACCCACGTGCAACATCACTTGTATTACCCACGTAATACAAGGTTCTCGTCCACTCACGTGGTCTGTTCTATCGTTTCAGTGTAATTCGGATGCGTGAAAGTGATTGTAAGTTCATCGTATAGCAATCTCCTTTGTGTGCGGAGCGTGTGAGTGCGTGCATGGTAACGACCATTGTTCTCCGCGCGACGTCTCTATCCCGCGTTATCTTCATCGTTGTAATTTCTAGTTTCATTTAATAAAAGGGTTTTTTATGCCGTTACGGCTTTTTCCCTCAAACAGTGTTAACCTATTAACGCTCACAGGACGGTTTTTCGAGACCTGAGTTTGAACTATTCTCATGTCATGAATTCTCGTGGAAAAAATTCAGGAACCATTGTTTCTTATGTTTTCGAGTGTCCTCTTTCCAATGATGCTGGTTAAAATTGTCGCTGAAAAACTTTTACGGTCCAAAAATCAAAAATAAATAAAAAAAACATGATTTTCTGATTTAATTTTTATTTTAAATCGACTTTGCGTTCCCTAAGCATTTTTTTAATGCCTAAAACCCTTATAGATCGCGGCCTCGAGGTTTTAACTACAAGTTACTATGGTTCTCCGGATATGAAAATTTTTCGTATAAACAAAATGGCGGCCGAAGTGAAAATATTTATCTAAAACTTTACAAATTTTTTTCTCGAATACTATAGATTTTCATGAAAATTTTTAAAGAACAAAAATGTCTTAGAATTAGTTATAAAATACTCTCAAATTTTTTCAGAATCATCCGAGAAAATTTTGGGATTTCGGAAAAGTCTCTGAATTGAAAATTTAAAAATTATGTCGGAAAATTTTGAAATAATTTGAGAGCGTTCTTTGTTTGTTTTTAAGACATTTCTATTCTCAGAAAAACTTTCGTAAAGTGCATGGTTTTTGGTAAACAAAATATTTGTTTAGCAAACTTTAACATTTTTTTTCTCGAAAAGTATACTCTTTAGGAACATTTTTCTGAGAATAGAAATGTCTTAAAAACAAACAAAGAACGCTCTCAAATTATTTCAAAATTTTCCGACATAATTTTTAAATTTTCAATTCAGAGACTTTTCCGAAATCCCAAAATTTTCTCGGATGATTCTGAAAAAATTTGAGAGTATTTTATAACTAATTCTAAGACATTTTTGTTCTTTAAAAATTTTCATGAAAATCTATAGTATTCGAGAAAAAAATTTGTAAAGTTTTAGATAAATATTTTCACTTCGGCCGCCATTTTGTTTATACGAAAAATTTTCATATCCGGAGAACCATAGTAACTTGTAGTTAAAACCTCGAGGCCGCGATCTATAAGGGTTTTAGGCATTAAAAAAATGCTTAGGGAACGAAAAGTCGATTTAAAATAAAAATTAAATCAGAAAATCATGTTTTTTTTATTTATTTTTGATTTTTAGACCGTAAAAGTTTTTCAGCGACAATTTTAACCAGCATCATTGGAAAGAGGACACTCGAAAACATAAGAAACAATGGTTCCTGAATTTTTTCCACGAGAATTCATGACATGAGAATAGTTCAAACTCAGGTCTCGAAAAACCGTCCTGTGAGCGTTAATGGGTTAAGTGATTTCCCTCTCATTCTAATAAATTAAATCTAACTACCACAACTAAGTCAGCAATCAAGAACAAAGGAGAAATTCGAACTAGAGCGATTTACTTCGCCAAGGAAGTCGTTCAGAACTTTTCGATGTATGCGATCTTACCATAAAAAATTCTCAACAAAAATTTTGTTATTAGGTTATTGGGCTATTGGGTTGTTGAGTTTTTGGCTTATTAATTTTCTCGGATCCAGATTTCAAAACCAGAGGTGCCGTTGTCAACGTGCATTCCAAGCTTACATCAGTTTTTTAACGTTTTCCTCAAATTTGACCTTTATTTGCCCTTACCAATGACCTTGATAAAAATATCATTTTGAACGTAAAATTTCCCGCTCTTTTCAAATCCGGAGTCAAAAATAAGTGGTTCCATTTAAAAAAATGACTCTGACCTTGAAATAATCTTCAAAACCGACTTCAAGGTCAAAGTCATTGGTACCCGTTGATGTGTCCCCCATTATCCCCTCCAACTTTTATCTGAAACATTTTTTCGTATGTGCACAAGCATCTGAGATATTGTCCCCTATAGATTAAAATGGCCCACCCTGTATATATACATATATATATATATATATATATTGTGACGGTAAACGTCAAATTAGCGCTGACTACCTAGTTTAATTGCTGTCTATGAGGGCAGCACCTGCCGGGGGGACAAAATAGGTAACGAAGGAATTCGGCACGCGAGCAGACGGAACGCACGCGACCGAATTTGAACAAGTGAAGCACCGACCATCATAGTGTCCGTCCGCTTACGCTACCGCACCGATTAATTCACATGCCCTTGACGTCTACGCGCATCAGAAAGACAGCAGTCAGTGATCCAGAGTTGCAGCCACCAGGGTGCTGTCCAGCTACGTGTTTGAGGCTAGAACGAGAGAGAGAGTGTGTGAGGTTTCGCCATCGAGGGCGAAACCAGTGTGTGCGCGCATTCGCGACCCGCGAGCAAAACTAACAATATAAAAACTGTTCCGTGCTGTGCGACTTGTCGTGGTTTTCTCCGATCGCCTGCAAGTAGAAGGTAAGCTGGCCAGCTTAATTTCGCGATCGCGAGCGTAGAATAATAATTTGATGCTAACATTCGATGCGTGCATGCAACGGCTCTAATAACAAAGAGCAGCGAGCGTACCGGCAAAGCGTGTTGTCGACGAGCGAGCGTTCATGTAAACAAACGCGCGGGCCGACCTTTTGTAGATTTTAAGGGATAATAAAAGATCCAATTTATGTTACTAACAAGTGTTTTCTTTGAGTCTCTCATATCTTATAGCTTCCACTCACTCCCATTTTAGTATAGGTTATTAACGATTATTGGTTGACTGACGCATACTTTCTCGTGCTCCCCCGGATAAGTAGTGAGCATTGACTTTTAATATAATTAATATAATCACGCGAGTATAATAATTAAACGGTTTTACCACGTTACAATATATAATATTTTTACAATAACAAGATAATAATTTTTTTAAAGATTTTCATTTTTTAGAAACTTTCTGCAGAAAGAAGGACCTCCAGATATTGGAAAAAACAAGCACAATATTAGGAAGGCCATTACTGGGGCATAGCTAACCAGACAGATTCAAGTGTGAATATGAATTGTTTATGTGTATAAATTCATACCCGATAGTGTAAATAATATATTTCATTTCTTTTGGTTTACAGATAATAATTCCATATCGAAAATGATATAAAAATAAATAAAAATAAAAATATTATAAAGTATTTATAACTTTTATATTTTTTTTATACCTTGACTATGGAAGCAGCACATTGACCAACTCACAAAAAAGGTCAATATGGCGCTTTATAGCTTGCGCTTTACAGGCCGTGTACCGTGTATATTAAATAAATAATATTATAAGATGATAATAATCAATTGATATTTATATTCTATACATATTAAGGCTAGGAAAAGAGATTGAGGACGCGAATTTACACGCATAATTTAGGGGTATACCGATAGTATGCCAAGACGATGAGGAGGAAACTTTCAGTTTCCTTCTTATTGAAAATCTTACGTAATGAGTCACTCGGCATTTTTTTCCTGATAAATATAAATTAAAACGTAAAAATAATGAAAATCAGCGTTGAGCAGTCGTTTGATTGGCTTGAGAGGTGGTTCGCGAGGGCGCCGACAGGAGATATTTTCCGAGCCCTTTCCTTAGAGCAATAAGTATATAAAAAACCATTGCTCAACATTATATGTCTTGGTGGTTCGATATCTGAACATAAAAAACGATTAAATTTGGTGTTTAGCGGTTGTTTGACGGGCTATATGGGTAGTTCGCGAGGGCGCCGACCGATGATATTTTTCGAGCCCATTTTTTGGAGCAATAATTACATAAAGAACCATTGCTTAATATTGTATGTCTTGGTGTT